TAATAAAATTCCAATATATTAAGTCGCACAATTCAACGATATGTTCTTTTAAGTGATGTAACCTCTTAATAGGTCTAACTCACGATCACAGTGAAATATATTCACAATCGCTAACACATGCATCCTCACAATGTTTAATCTACGTAAAATCGTATATATCTGTTACTTACAAAGTTTAAATTTCTCACGATGTGTTGATTAAAATAATTTTTGGAATCGTAAGAGAGCTTTCTCTACACGCATATTGTCAAAAAATCGCAACTAAACCAATAATTTATAAAACGCTGCTTGATGTAAATCGAATGTTGCTCTTTGAAATTTCCTGATTCTTATACAACATTCAAAAAGTGCCAAGACAATGAGTCATGAACTGGAGTTCTTCGGTAATACCGTAATAGCCTTTCCTTAATTCAATTCACCTATCATTCTCCTTTGTATATAATTCAGCCATGGACGTATACATAAATGTGCCCTTATCGTTGGAAATCAATATCACGAAATCGTCTCGAAGTAATTGACAGTGATTATGGACATCGGCTGTGAATCTCAGAAGAGTGCTTAAGAGAGAGAGAGAGAGAGAGAGAGAGAGAGAGAGAGAGCTGATACATTTATTCTTGAGAGATTTCGTGTATCACGAAAACCCATGTCTATACCATAAATGCATAGTTTAACATGTCTTTTACTTGTTAAGCTTCCTTATTTTTCCACTTTGCCCCCTCCATTATCATCTCGTCCAATTTAATCGGTTTAAGGAGAGGCCAGATTTACTGAGAGATAAATCAACTGGACATAGATATTAACTTGCACGTTACTTAAGATATTACGTATTTATTGGTTTGGAAATGATCACTTTGCATTTTCTACAATTTTTAACACTTTCAATCTTATGCTGTGAAATTCCATTTTCTTTATATTCTCTTACTATCGACGTAAGCATTTCGATCGACGTAAAAATTGTGAGGATATCTATGCAGAAATAATCACGAAATTTCATTAAAACCGTTTTTATTTTTATTAAATACGATAATGTATTATTAATATTATAATTATTCCAATTTAATTTTTTATCAATCATTTAATTAATAGATGGCTATTACATAATACGAAATATATAAAAGAAAGTTTAAATATTTAGGATACAATTCTAATATAGTTATAAGATTCTGATATATTTCATGGAATTAAACTTATAGGTCAAATTTTAAGAATTAAACTTAAAACGATTAATTTGTTTTATATAATAGTTATCTAATTTATTTTTGCTCAATTACATTAAATTCAATTTTTTTAATAATTATAAGTACACTTAATACTACAATTTTTTTTTTAAATTAAATATAACTTGAGTAATATACATTTTGAAATTTTAACAAAATATTGATTATTCAAATAAGGTTTGAATTGGTTTTGAAAAATTGGTTCTGTTATGAAAATCTATTTTTTATATATTTCTTATATTTGAGTAGAGGTAGAGACATGTGTTGTTGTTGTTTTTTTTACCAATTTCTATTAAACTACTTTCTCGCTAACTAAGACTTCGTAGTCATACTGTTTTTTTTTTTTTCAAAGTTCATTCAATTAAATATTTAATAGGAAATTCTATCATTTTATACAATTTACATTTATTCAATTAATATGTTATAAATTTAATATAGTAGATAATTTTTATTGAAAGCAGTTATTATTTATCGCAGTTGCTAGTGTTTATTGTCTTAAACATGAATAAAATAGTTCAAAATACGTTTTTAATCATATTCGACATAACAAATATCAGATATTTAAACAATATTAAGATCTCATAAATAAGATATAGAAATACATACATGATTATATTTACTATTAATTATATTTATAGAAGCACTTTTACGTCCAAAATTTAAATCAAATAGACATTTTTCTTTAAATGTAACTAAATAAAAAAGAGAAACTTTGATAAATATTTAACTATTTTATAAACTCAATGTCAAGTATTGCCATTCATATTATAAATTTTAAATATAAAATTTGTAACCACAACATAAATGTTATATTTTCAGTAGAGTACTTTCTCCCATGAGTTTTCCTCCTATAGGTTTTCCTTAATTTAGATACTTAGACTACGTATTATATAATTAAGAATATTAGTAAGATATTATTTCAATGTAATGAATAATTATCCTATCTATATAGATATAAAAAAAATATTTTTACACTACTATAGTTTATATTTATACTATAGTTTATATGTAACTTAAATCAGAAATTAACTTAATAATGAATGCTATTTTTCTTTAGCCTAATATCTTTGTATTTTCTAAGGTATAATTGAAATACCAAATATATCGAATTTTATATGCGAACATAGTAAATAGGTATTTAATTTAATTAATATGCGACAAATAATATGCTTGTTGCTCACAATTAAAATTACACAATCTATTAAAAAACTTAAATTTTTATTATTTATATTTTAAGTGCTAACATAAAATCATCCATTGTTTTCTTTCACCACATAGTGTATCCCATCACGCATGAAATATTTAGTTTCATAGATTTTGCTGAATATTTCATTTATTTTTCTCAAATAAATTTTCTAATTTACTACTTGTAAAATCTTATAGTTTAAAGGTTCAAAAAATAAACAAAATATTTATATTCATTATATTCCTTGTATACGTTTATACGTATTTGTGAAGAATTTTTACATTTTGTGAATAAAAATATTTGTTGCGTTGATCTCTATATTTTTTACAATAACTGTTAGTATTTTATCTTCCTGATTTTATCTTTCTGTTATATCATATATATATATATATATATATATATATATATATATATATATATATATATATTGATTTAATAAGATTTAATAAGAATAATAAGAGTCTCTTCAAATTTCTTAAAATTAGATAGATCACTTAATAAAATTTTTATATCAATATAAACCGTCATTAAATATTTGTTATTCCTGGATACGTTTGAAATTATTATAATTATATATCTCTCATACTATTATCGAAGTACTTATTTACTATTATATCAATGCACCTTATTAGTGTTCTTTATTATTAACAAAGCAACAAATGAAGTTACTCGTAATTTTACGCTATTTTTGTTATATTGAAACAACTAATGTTTAGGAATTTTGAAATAAATTATAATTTATTATAGATATTATAATTAATGGAGAAACTGCTTAAGCTATTTTCTTCTGTGCAATTGTTGAAAATTTGATTAATTAATCTGATACATTAAGCAACGTATTATAGTTTAGTTTAATAGTAATGTAGTCTTTGAAATTAAAGTTAGTACATTTTAACTAAGAAAACAAAATATAATGTACCAAATAATATTATAAAAGAATATAATTATTAAAATTGAGAAAAATTGATGAATAATAATCTTCAAATTTATAAAATTATAAAATAAAATGTTATTTCATAATAAAATATATATAATATTTATATTATACATACCATATTATTTATCATAAATACAAAAATTTTTTAAATATATTAAATTAAATATAACACTGAATACAAAAGTTGACAATTGAAATAAATTTCGTTGTCTACAAAGTGTTGACTATATAGTTAAATTTATTAAGTTTTTAGGAAGTAGAATATTAACTTGCATAAATTAAAATCATAGTGATATCGAATATTTTTGGGGCAGATAATACAAAAAATAAATAAATACCCATAAACAAATTTTTTATTCAGTATTAAATTAATTATATTTATGTACCAATATTTATACCGCTTTCATGCAAAGTATATGAATATATTTTGAACTATTAAGCTATAATTAAAAAGAAAAATATTCAATTTTACTACTACGTTATAAGTACTATTTTCATTCGTTATTGTTAAGCATCGATGAAAAATATATAAATTTGTTTTTTAGTCAAACCTAAATACAATCATACAAGGATATAATTCGAGCTTAAATACAAGCAGATCTATTATATTCTCTATTCATATTTAAATATATAAATACGCAATTTTTTGTTATCACTGATGAACAATAATATTATTTATTTATCATAAAAACATTTACATATTTAATAAATTACATCTTTTTTTTGATAATTTCCAATTTGAAAGTTATAAGTTCTTTTGGTTTCGTGTAGAAAGTTTTATGTAATATCTATTGAGCCATCACTGTATAAATATATTCGGATTTTTAAATGTATGGCATATATTTGTTAATTTAACATTTGCATAACTTTATAATGAATTAAATGATTGATAAATATAATTCCTATATTTATATTAAAAGAATTAAAAAAAAATGATTAAGCTGAAGGAGTGATGAGAATATTTATGAAATGTAATTGTTATATATATAAAAGCTTATATAGCATAAAATTAATTGAATAAAAATCAGTGCTTCTTTGAAATTGTATAAATTAATAATTAAGTATTAATAATTAGGAAAGGATCGATTAGTTTTTGTTTTAAATAAATTTTCAACCTACTTGTTCGGAATCCAGATTTAAATAGTACAATGAAAGGATTGATCGATTAACTTTATGATTTATATTTGAAAACCACCGATTACTGGTTTATTAAAATCTACGATACTTTTCTCTTATTAAATTCTGCGCAAATATCATGATATCAGTCGATAACTGATATGATTGCGATGACCTCTTTATTATGATTAAAGTATATTATTAAAGCCATTGAGTTTAGTTGCGATTTCATAAGCTAGTAAAATTTTACGAGCACATAAGAAAAATTTCTTTTCGTAAAAATCAAATTCTTTTTGCTTTTCTCTCTGAAACCACCCCCCCCCCCTCCCTCTCTCTCTCTCTCTCTCTCTCTCTCTCTCTCTCTTATCTACTTCTCTCGTTCACTCGCTCAGTCTCTCCCCTCCCCCACCTACCCGCTTACACATGCTATGGTAGAGGATAGACTGGCGCCAGATCGCATTTCCGTAATGGAACCAGCTATTGGTGAGTTTTGCTATTCGCGGCTCCTCATAATTAATAGAAATGCAGTCGCGTGTTCGCGGCGTCGAGGTCGACTGCGGCCGCGGCGGCAATGGTGGCGCGGAAGTCGCTCCTAGAAAGTCACCGTACCAGCTTCGGTAGCCGCGTGCTTTACTTCATCAACGTCCGTCATCTCGTCGGTACACGCGATCCGAAATGTCGAGTTCGATGATCCGCTGTGGCAACGGAAACTGTTACAACAACAGCAACGTCCTGTACGCATCCGCCCGCTGCGTCTTCCTACTCATATTCCTGCTCTTCTTCTTCTGCTCGGGCTTCGTCCTCAGACTCGCCGTCGAGGTCTTTGTATTCAAGTGCCGCACGCTCCACGTCTGTTGACATGTCGCGCGGCACATTCACCTTCATCTCTGGGACTTGCTACTGCTGTCGCTGTACCAAACGACAACTCGAGACCGGCTCTTCTATAGGTACACTACACTGGCTTCACATAACTCGGCTTTCAACCTCCTAACCACTCCTAACAACTCTTTTATTATTCCAACCTCATCATACGCTATCCCTTGTTTTATGGGTGAATACGAGCCTCGGAATATCTGGCTATTCCGGTTGTAGTAGTACACAACACATCTCACTACACCTCGCTTTATTTTACATGTGCTGCAAGTCAATATTTACGTAATATTCGTGCAAAGTCAAGACTCTAGCCATAATTGGCACCTAAAATTAACAAAAAGCATTTTTAAACGATTCGACATTTAAATCTATAATTTTTCAGTCGATTAAATTTTTTCATATTTAATAAATTATTATTGTTTGTATTAATTGGCATTAATAGTCTTTGCCTTTACTTTTACATGTAGAATACGATTCCTTAAAGAACATATTTCACAATTCACACAAATGTATATATATATATATATATATGCAATACGTATCAGATTAGAACATAAATAAAATAAGACTCGCAAAATACTAAATCATAAGATAATCAACACACTTATCAACACACCTATTAACATACTAATCAGCACAATACATGGAATTCTCATATGGAGTTCCGTAGTTGAATAATAGTTTTAAAGAAAGGGAAAGTCCTAACCAACACAAAGAATGTATATACGAATATACCAGAGGCACGCATTTAACATATTTTTTTAGTTATTTACATTATTACTTAACTCAAATTATAATTCGAATACATTAAAGGAACAAAGTGATATATATATATATATATATATATATATATATATATATGAGTTATCTTTAATTCAATAATTAATATTCGAGCACCAATGCTCAAACTTTTACTTCAAAGATTGCATAAGGTACATACGTACATGGCATCAAATCTGTTGAAAGAAATGTTGGGAAAAAAAAATTTCAAATGAAATTTGAGTGATTCAATAGTCTATACACGCACAAGTCATGCGTTGATGTCACTATGTCAATGCCGAAAACCGAGCACAGATAACGTCTTAGTCTCTCGTAGTCTCCCGTAGTCGTTGATGACTAAACGTCCTGTTGTTATTTATTTAATCACCTGTTGTTTTTAAAGAATCTAATTATTGATAAAAAAGAATAACCTAATCTAATATTGTTGTTTAAAAGTGATATATCTGATCAATAATGGTAGGAGGACTATTTTTTATTAATATTTCACTAAAACGATATAATCTGAAATACATAATTTTGGTAATTTCGATTTTAAAATATCTAAAAATTTTCGTTATCTATATTCCAACGTATCTTTAAATGTTGATTTATTCTTTGATATTCCAGAATCTGCATCAAAAGACTATCAATTTTATATAATATTACAACAGTATTATCTCATTATTAGATTATTAGATTATTGTTATTTAATAATTACAATAAATGAAATTTTTATATATACTATTTAATATAGATAGTAATACTTGATACTAAAATTTCATAGTGATTTAGTAAATATTATAAATATAATAAATTGTCCTTTCTGCTTAACTAATATTTATAAGATTTATGTAAAAGTATTAAAAGAAGTTATAATTTTCAAAATCTAATAATTTGCAAATAATATTAGCTTACATTGTTTGAATTTATTATTCCGTTTACTCATTTATTTAAAACACTTTTAATCAATTTCACTTAAGTATTATCATACTAAAAAGTAAAAATTAATTATGTCTATAATACATTTTTTTCATTAATTGCAGGAAAGTTAGTGAAAGTTTAGCTAATAACGGAATTTACACAAAGTAATGATTTATTTACATGCAAACAATTCTTATAATCGTTCTTTCGTTAATAATAATTTTAAAATAACTACCAAAAAATATTGAAAGATCAAGTGCAATTTACTTTCCTTTTAAAATAGCATTACTATTTTTACTGCTTAATACTGTAGTATAAATTATGCAATTATATAACGTTATCGATGGAGAAATATGTTTAGAAAAATACAGAGGACTAAATATTTATCATTATATCTTAATAAATTGTACGTTGTTTCGGAATGTTTGTAATACGATTACAGTTTATTATTCTATCAAAAAGTTAGACAGATTAGTTAGTTTCAGAATCGTGCAATATTTTAAAATTGCGCTTCTAATTATTAATAAATAGGCGAATATATTTAATTAAATACACAATTAAATATATGATTATCTGGAATTTGGCAGCTCCATTTTAAGTTTGTAAGGAAATAAAAATTTAATATTACTTTAAACTTCATGAGCATGTAGAAAACAAATTTATTGTTTATAATAATATTAAAATTAATAATTATTTGCATGTAATACATATGATGTGAAAGGACAGTGATTCAGTTAAAAATAAACATTAATAATAATACGTAATAAAAATATTTATATTATATAAATAATATATACAATGTCAAATTATTTTCGCTATATGTAAATTGATTTTCAGTTGTAGAAACTAATTATACGACTTTAGTATACTTTTATCGATGCCTAGCTGTAAACGAAATTTACAATTTTATTTTCTCATGCTTAAATAAACTCCTTGTTAAATAAACAAACTACAGATTGTTATTATATAGTTTCTATCCATTTAAATATTTATCTAATTTGAAATAATTTGGACTTAAATTATCCACCAAAGTTTTAACCAATAATATTTTTAATCTTTTAAAATTAATTATTTACTGTAAAACTATTTATCTGCGTATTCAATCATAATTTTTAGTTAATACTACAGAACTTGGGTGCAAATCATTTTTTTTTTTTTTTTTTTTTTTTTTTTTTTACAATACTTCCATTACAATCGATGTAAAATTTCTAAATAACTAATTCCATGTTCAATTTACATTTTAATTCAATAACCTGTTTGAAGTGCGTTGAATCTACTTTGTCTCCAATTAATTGTCCTTTCTCTTTGAAAAACTGAAAAAGAAAAAAAATTATATACCTACATAATTTATTTTAATGGGCCAAAAAAATTTTGGATTTATTATTATGAGAAGATATTTATTATACAATCGCTTGTTAATATTCTCTTAATAGGTGCCCTTGTTTTATTCACTCACGATTGTACATCGTCACGATTCGTTCCAATTACACGTTCCAAATATTCATTACCCTGATTGATATTATACATTTACATCAGCCATTTACAAAACGTCATAATAAATTTTTCTCGCTTTATTACAATAAATAAAAGCATTTCAAATCGTTTAATTGTAAATGAATTTTAGATATATGTACTGAAATTCAACAAATTCATGCTAATTATAATTGCATTCGTAATTCTTCTCTTTTGCTTTCATACGGTAGGCCTGTTAAGTACGCGAACGTACACATCTGAGAACTTTTACTTCACGCTGATGAAGTGAGAGTAAGAGTGAGAGTATATCCTTGGTTTGGTCATACATTAAACTTGATTTAATGGCTTCCTACATAATGAAGGTATCTTTTACGATTGTAAATGTCCCTGATCAAATTATACGGTCATTGATTTGTTTTATTTTTCACACGGTTTCAGACTTATAGTAAACACAACACTGAAAAACACAAAATTGCTATTCTTTATGTCTTTGGTAATTAAAAGGACATTCACATTTTTAGCTTGAATTTCACTTAATTGGACATTTATTGCTTGTAATAAAAACTTACTCGTTATATTCCTATCGCGTCAATAAAATAATAACTTTTCAATAATGTGAATAAAAATTTCAAATTATTTTATTAACGATTTACTAATTTTTATAATGAAATTTTAGTAAAAATACAATAATATATATATATATATATATATATATATGTATTTGTAATTATCACGATTATGCTTTTTTATTTTTAAATAAATTATTCATTCTAGTTAAATACTGCATATTAGTATTTTATACATTATACACTTACAATTTTCCTCCGATACTAAAACCAAATTAACGATAAATTAACGAATAAAATATTATATTATGTTATATTTATCAATTTAGAAAAATATATAATACTCGCATATAACATTTCAAAGCAACCATATTATTAATTTCATTAATATTATATTTATTATATTCTAATATACTTATTTAAATCTTATTATATTTATATAAAACTATATGTTTTCTTAAATTTTATCAGAAATATATTCATAGTCATTAAACTAAATATATCAATAATAATATTGTAATATTTTCATAATATCTCATCGCATCAATAGTGCGCCTAAATAATAATACTAGTAATGTTACATTAACACAATCAATAATAAAGTCAATGTATTAAACGCGACAAGTATGTACATTGCTATCACCTTTCTCTGATAGATATACTGTGATTCGAACTCAAAGTTAAGAAAGTAAAAAATTCATTTTTGACGGTAAATTTTAACGATTTTAACGATAGAGATTAATAGTAAAAAAGAAAGATATATCGGAATAGAAAAACGTTTGATTGTAATAAACATATATATAACACACATATAACCTTTATAATTTCTGAAGGTAGATTGATATACACGGTAACTTAATTACGTACATTGGTCAGGGTCGTACAAAGATTTAAACTATAATTTCAAATACGACGTATTCCCCTTTATCACATAAGGAGTAAAAGAATTTTCACTTTCATTAATTTTTAATCATTATTCATTCAGAATGACAAAATTTCTTTTTTACAATGACATTATATTTCCGTTATAATTTATCTATTAATCTACTATAATTTATGTACTATAATATTGTTTATATAAAGACAATTGTATCACTCCATTAATACATATCGCATTATTGGTTATATGTTAATATAAATATCATTTATATTTATACTTTATTCTCTTTTATAATAATATAAAAAGTTATTATTGAAAACTATAATTCGTTTCTTTAAATTTTGAACCAATAATTAAAACGTATTTAATATTTGTGAAAATTAATATGAAAAATTTTCTCAAGTGGGTTGATATTATTGTATCTAATTCATCATAATAAATTATTCTTCATGTATTATATGAAATACTATTAAATATATATTCTTATGGACTCCTGACAACTTGAGAGATATATAAATATATGAATTATGATTTGCAATAAATTTATTTCATTTAAGAATTAATATTTTTAAGCTATTATATATTTAATAGAATTGATAAATAAGTTATATATCAATAATATTCAAAATTTTTGAAATTAATATAATTGTAATTAATATAAATTAATGTTAAAAAATATTATACTAAACGTTAAATAAAATTAAGGTTATTAATCAATTAAAATATTGTCAAAGTACTTTTTAATAAAAATTAATCAAATTATTGATATAAAAAATGCGATAAAAACCATTCAATTAAAAAATTCCGATGTTTTATATTAGAAAAAAAATAATAATTAATAAAAATAATTATTGAAAAGTATATTTTATATGGTAACTTATTATTCGGTAAAATGTTGAAAACAATAGTTATCCAATATTTTGAATAACTTACAGTACAAGGAGGTATAAGAAATTTATATTTATTTTTCAAAATATCCATCGTAAAATAATTAGTTATTTCTTATTTTCATGTTAAATTTTGCTAATTTTTCTAACTTAAAATACGTATGAATCGAGAAATTGCTCATAGTTATCATATTTTCGAGAATTCAATGAATTTTTTGTTCCTTTTGCTCGATTATTATTAGACTGGTTATTAACTTTCTATTTTATTTAAATACTATGTTTCATTATTATAGTGTAAATACTAATATAATTTTATATAGAGTTAACCTAAAATCAAACTATACATTTTCATTAATTTACATCAACATTAAATTAGATAACGAATCAGTACATAATGTTTTAATGCTTAGTAGTTTTAATTGAACCGCTAACTTTAATGATAATTATTTGAAAGTAAAATATTATAAATTACTAAAACCAAATATAATTTAATAATAATATATAGCGAAATTTTGTTAAATAAATCATTTTCCCTTGTAATTTTTTAACAATTAAATGTTATTTATGTATCTAATCAATAATTTATTGATACAATTTTGAACGGCTTATCATAAAAATATAGATATATCAACTTTCTCTAACTATTAATATTGAGTACATAAAGTTATACATATATATACATATATATATATATATATATATATATATTTATATAAAGTCATGTGAAATATTTTTAATTGGCTACAAGTTTTTTATATATAAAAAATACTAAAAGCGATAATTGCAAAATCTATTTAAGACATAGAAAATTCATATTTATCTAATTTTCATGTATATTTCACTCAATTTAATATTAATATATAAAAATCATTTTAACTACATTTCGTAATTCTATTTTAAAATAAAAAAAAAACTATCCCTATACTGTAAAGTGTAAAAAATATGAATTGATGAAAATGAAATATTAATTGTAATGGTCAATCTCGGCTTCTAGGCAACAAATCATCCTTTAAAATCTACAGTTTTTCAAATATTTGTAATGTAAGTTTAAATAAACTAAATCAAGAATTAAAAATTGTTTCACTTTCGTATGTTAGAAATAATTTACAAAATTCCGTTAGAGAATGTTATGAAAATTATTAGCGATTTACGATGAAATCCAAGTGCATGACATTTACGACACTTCGAGTAAAATGTTTTTTTGCCATTTTTACAGATGAATTCGAAGCCATGGGAGATAGGGAATTTACTATGGATTTTATTTGTCGCGGCGATCCTCGGACATGGATTCTGTGACTCAGCGATGCAACAACGAATTGACGGTAAAAGGAAGTACCTTGAAGTCGACGACCTCAGGGGCTTCGATAGACAAGCACGCTTCACCAGCGAGGACGAGAAGGAGGAGGAGACGGCGGACGTCCTTGCAGATTCATCCAAAGCTGAACTGCCAAGGAAGATCGAAAGGAGAAGTGCACGTGTCGATAGTAACTTGAATGGTTTGCAGCATTCGCAAGAACGCCCAAGAGAACCCAGACAGAAAATGAAAAAGCCAAAACCAGGTTTCTTTTGGACTCTCGCTAGGGTCACCTTCGAGGTATCTTAAATTTATTACTACATACTTACATTCCTCTTTTATGCTATTGCAATATAAGAAATTTCTTTAATACATAAACTTTGCTCTTTTGAAAATTAACTTTACCTAATGCTCCCAAAAATTCGACAAGTTTTGAAAAATTAACATATTTTGGGCTTGATTACATTATACATACATAATATTTAGCGTAATCTTTAGGTATAATAATACCTAAAACAGCAGATTATATATAATTAATTTAAAACGTTACAAGTAATATTAAAACTTGTTCGTGAAAATTTTCTCTATCATTAATATAATAAAAAATCATTTCAATTAATTTATTACATTGTGAATATTATTGTATTATTTTCTAAATTAAAACCGTAAGAATAAGTAAAATACTAGAACGCACGTGCAGTGCGTATTCGTTAAAAATTTTTTTTTTTTTTTTTTTTTTTTTTTTTTTTTTTTGACGTATTTATAATTAAAATGTAACTTGAAAACATTAAAACTGGAAGAGAAAGTTGAATATCGTATCGACAGAGGTCGGTAAGAAAGATTTATGATAGTTGTTGGTCTCCATAAGGAAGAAAGGCGGCGCTACAAACGATTAGAAATATACAATGAATATAAGAAATATATTTTTGTACTTTAGGAATAAATATACATTTATCAACATTTCTTTATGAACATTTTTTTCATGTATATTTCATAACGTTACTTTCACTCAATCCCAAAGACTCTGTAAGCCACACGTCAGTATAAGTAAGCTATGTCGGTTAACCAAGAAAGAAATGTTTTGAAAGCAACAAATTTGTGGTTAAATTGACATTTCTACAAAATTGTTATACATTATATAAGTTAATTATAATTTTAATTTGATAGTTAAAAAAACCGGATTGGTATTACTCTTAGAATGTATATATTTTTCTAAGATGGAAAAAGGAAATTGTATTAGTAATGTATAAAAAACAGAAAATTGTAAATTCTTTCCAGTTCTCAAGCATATATACTATTAATGATTATACTAATCTGCTATACTTAATTCATTATTATTTTGATTATACGAAAGCATAAGAGTAGTTATTTTAAATTGCTTAATCATAAATTCTTCTGTTTTGTTATTTTTTAGAAATGAATAATAATAACACTAATAATTTAACGATAATAATTATATTAAAATATTTATCTAAATTTTCACAATCTATAGTTCAATTTCAATCACACAATAAGAAAAATGATAATATTTAATTAACATTTCATTATCTTATTAACATTATTACAAAGATACTTATATTATGTTTCTATTATTAAAACGACTATTTATAAAAAAAAAAAATATTTTAGCCCATGATTGTAAAAAGGTGAAAATATAAATTATTTTTAGTCACTTGTTTCGTATTCTATAAAAGTTTCCTTTATATTTCTAGCATTATAAAAAATCCATACTGTTTCTTCGATTAATAGTAATGTATCGACTGTCCTTTATAAGAAATATTATAATACATAAACGCCACTTCAAAAGCAAACAAATGTATCAATGCCCATCACATTAATAATAAATTGCAGTCTTTCATTTTACAAAATCACAAAATTAAATAGTATCATATTAACAGTAAAATGATACGATGCCATGTATAATATGATATATCATCAAATATATATCAAGTTATTTTATTAGATGTCAGAATATCATGAAGAATAAAATTCGCAGAGGTTCATACAATTTTTTTTTTTTTTTATCTTATTACTCAGAAAATAAAACCAAATATATAATTTCAGTTTCAGACAAAACTAAAGATTGAAAAATCTTTCAAAATTGACTAATTACTGTATTTTATAAAATTATAATATTTATAAAGGTAAAGATAGATAAATTAATAAATAATTATAATAAAGCCTCTATTTAATTTATATAATTATTCTCTCTATTTTATATAATTATAATAAAACCTATAATAGTATCTCTCAAATGCAATAATATTAAAAAAATCTTAATTATATTATATCATTAATATTCGTTGATTTATATAATTGCTTAATTTTTTTTCTTTTTTCGATTAGTTGAAATTTATTTTTATCGAAATACAGTTATAAATATTCTTAATTTTGCTCAATTTTAGGATAAATCCACATAAATACAGATAATTACAATTAAATAATTAAAATTAATGTTTTTATATTTAATACAACATTTCGTAATTTTACAATTAGTATACAATTATTAAAAGCATAGAAAAAGTGAAATTTTTTATTTTTTAATATTTTAATAAATATTTTAAATGAGCATATAAATTATTCATTAAGACATTGAAATTTTTTTAACTATTAAAATATATATTCCTTTAACCCGAGACTGAAAAAAAAATTAATTATAACGATGATAACCAATAATACTAATAATGTTAACGGTAAATAATAAATAAAGAAAATAATAAAATTCATAATTGAAAGAATCAAATGTACTTATAATTTAAATAATTATTTTATTATTGGTTGAAAGAAATGAAATAAAAAGAATTCCATAAGATTTTTAATAACTTTGCTTAATTTTAGCTATTTATTTTTCTCGTAATCAAGTAGTTTTAAAGCATATAATTACTTATTCTAAAATACATTTCATATATCACCACTAATGATTACTCAAATTTATAATTAAAATAAAATAATTGATTCTTTACATGTGAAAAATTACAAGCAACAATATCTTCACATTGTTATTTATTATTATTTGTAAAAAAGGTTTATCTGATATTATTATTTTATCTTATAATTACTATTAATCAATACTAAATTTTACATGTAGTTTATAATAATATATAATATTACAGAGCAAAGCTTTGGATTTAAATAATATCGTGCAATCGCTTGTGTTAATGCTAACAAGTATTGTAAATAAAGTATTATATAAAATATAAATAAATAATGGGAGAATTATTTTCTATTTCTAAAAGCATTTTTTAAATCTAAAATTATTTTTTTTATTCAATACTTTATTACTGTTCAGCTGTACGGCTCAAAACTATACTGGATTGTTATTTCTTTAGGCTTATAGTTGTCTATATTGGCTATGTCTTATATTGTTTTTAATTTTATTTAAGTTCACTTGACCTGCTTACTGTGGTTATAGTAATTAGTTACGTATCTTATTCATCTTTATAATTATTTTTTTTTTTCTTATCTTCTTTACCTTAGAACTATTATTCCTTCCGTAGACCTTGAAAATTATAAAACAACGAGAAAAGACTTCTATGAAGTAATACAGGCAAAGTACTCAATGAGTATTACATGCGCTATACTACACCAGTTTCATAACCAGTTTTCGTTTTTATTATTTGCTCGAGGGACTCCTGCGCGAGTTCATCCAGAGCACTGATATTTTTTTCAGAACAAGTTCACGGGAATATCAGATTCTCAAATATTATACTCTTTACTAGAAAATACTTGGACTGCTCATACATATGTCTCTTTTTGATTATAATAACCTTTCCCGCTACATAATAATATTAATTTTTTATTATTAGCTTCGAATTTACTATTTAATCCAAATCAAAAATAATTATTTAAACATAAAGCTTAGGACTTTAATACTAAATGCTGCGATTCACTTTAACCTTGTTTAAGAATATAATGTATAAAATTAAATAATGCCAATGTACAAATATAGGTTAGTAATTTTTAAAAAAAATACGAACCATGACAAGCAATAGTTCAACGTTCAACACAATCTATGTAAGAGAAAAGTATTATATATTATGTGTTATATGTGTTTATACAATATTGTTGTACAATATTACATTGTATTGTATATTTATATATATATATATATATATATATATACAATAGTATTCTTTCTATCAGTTGCGAACAGTACTAAGCGGTAAACTTACTCTATACTGAACATCGAATGTAAATATTTATTTTTTGTCCATTACTTGAATTTAATAACACATTCATATCGTATAATTTTGTTAGTAAATACATAATTTTAAACAGAACCGAATTTCACGAACATTTTCTGCATTTCGGATACTAATTAAATCCAATGAATTTACATACAATGGCCCATAGACTTCATCCCTTTCGATCATCAACTCCATCAAAACTACTTTCTAAATATCATCATTGTACAATTCTCAAAAATATCCCAAGACCAACTACTCTCCTTGAATAAATATATCGCACTCTCATTACAGTCCCATTAGCCAATAAAGAAAGGCATCTCTGCATAAAGAGGATGCTAAAAAGAAAAAAAAAAGAAAAAAAATCAAATGACTATGAAAAATAAGAGGAAAAAGCAGCAAATTGCGCGCTCTTTTATCCCCTCAGACTTTCAACGACACACGCTCGGCAATCCAGCAGATCAACCAAATTATAAACGAGAGCATTCCAAACGAGTCAACTCCGGCGAAGCAGGGTTTGGCGAGTCTTAAGATGAAAACGATGGTCGCTCCAGGAAATAGGACAGAAAGCGACACTGAGACAATGACAGAAGAACCAGAGTTCAAGCTAACTCGACCGCTGCTGCTGAGTCTCGTTAGGAGGAACGTCAATGGCCTCGTCCGACTATTCAATATCGAATGGCGTGACGCTATTAATGTAAGAGATCAATTCCTTTTTCAGGCTATAACTTATTATGCGACATTCGTTTCATTATTTTAGCTGGCATTACGCTCCTGCTATTGGGCAATGATTTTATTGCAACTTAATGCCACGACCACATTTTGACATTTATCAAATTTTATTGAATTTTAAATGGCCATAAATAATAAATGCTTTCTTTTATTATAGATAGACGTGAATTTCATTTAATGCACATATTTAGACATATCCTTTATTGTATCAAATTCATCCACTAATAAGTTGTAACAGATACTTAAATTAAGCATGCGTACGTAATGATTTTCTTTACTTGATTATGAAGTTTCTGAATTAGAATCTATTATAAAAATTCTGCCAAGTGATCATTTCTAAAATTAAGTATTAAGTAAATTAGTCCTAGGAAATATGAATGATTGCAATATCATAATATGTATTTTAGTTCATAATATTTTTAAAACTGTAAAATAAACAAATAATGTTATTTAAGAAATGTTGAAAATAAAAGCTTACGAATTACAAAAACAACAGTTAACGAAATTTATAATGCATATATCATCCTAATGAATAATATTCAAAAATTCTTTTACGTAATCATTTTTTCACAAAAACATCAATTATATTTAGTTATTCGAAATATGAAAGAATTTTTGGTAACAATAATGCTATTATATTATGATTATTTGAAAAGTTAAGAAATAAAGTAAAATTTTTTTTCAATTTCAATAATCATCGCAGTTTTAATTTACTATAAAAAAAAAATCAGTTTACTTGTAAAAGTAATTAAAAGTTTGTGTCGAAATAATCAATCGACTTTCTATTATAACCTCTAGAGTGTACGTATGTGTATAAATGTACCTTAATAAGTTAATAAACTTGATAATTCTTCAAATGAAGTAATATATAAATAAACATAGATATACTTTTCTTTTTATTTTAGCTAACCTCTGTTTAATTTTTACTTACTTAATTAAAATTTTTTTTTATTATTAAATATATTTTACTGTCACGATATGCATACATATAATTACAAGATTCTTAACAAAAGTTAACTTAAATTATTATTATCACAAGCAAACAAGCAAGTAAAGTAAATTAACGATCTATTAAGGTAAACTTATTCCATGTTTACTTCGAGATACTTAAAATTTGAATTAAAGAGCAGAAAAAGATTATATTACATTTCATAAAATACTATTACATGAACATTTAACATAATTGATAATTTTATAAATGTCATTATGAATATAAGTATTTAGAAATAAAATTGACTAATTTATTCAAATAACCATTATTTAATTGAAAAATTGATAAATAAAAATTATGCCTATGTTGCTTAATTATTGTATAAAATCATGAACATGTAAAACCTTTGTATTAATGATTATTTCGTTATTTTGTATATAATATTGAATTTAAAAATGATTAATCTTATATGTAATATGAAAAAAGTATAAGTAATGTCAATTTATTATGCTTTAAGAAATTAATTAATCCTATCAGAGTAAAAATGTATGCTCGTGTAGAAAATTGATTGGTTAACATGACTTTTTCTGATGATTATTTCCGCTTACTAATTATCATTAAACTACTATTTACTACTTATATTGAAAATATGGGTACTTATAAAATCAAATGTAATGACTACAATCAATTCCGATGATTAATACTGTCTAAGTATTATTTTTCAATTTTTAAATATTTTATAAGAAAGAATGTTTTTTTGTTAATAATCGTATTTTTATCATTATAAATAATAAAATGTTATTAACAACATTTAATTTTCAGCATATGTATATGTATTATATCGTAATCCACATAAGTGAGAGTTGCACTAAATTCTCGCAGATGTATACTCTGGCCAATTAGTGGTGCCTTCATACAATAAGTATCTTCTAGAAATAATTATTTTAACATATAATTTAGCAATGTACGTTATATGCTGGAGCAAATATTGGAATGAATATTAATATATTTTTTTTCAAATTCAACAATTACCGTTAGATCTTTGTTTTCTGACAGAGTCAAAAACCCATATAATTTGTATCCGTACATTCCGTAAAAATAGTATTCATACTATTACGATACATTTAATGTAATGAAAATGTTTTGCTGAGTGTAATAATTGAGGGAATGAATAAATACACACACATACATATATATATATATATATATATATAGAATAAAAAATATAATGTATAAGTGGAAATGAGATTGATTCTATTATGTCTTTATTTAAGTTATGATTAAAATGAAAATTAAAATAAAGCAGTAACAAATTCGGGAAATTACTCTAAATTTTATTCGATATTTTTATTCTGTATTTTCCAGTAGCTTGTATGAAAATATCACGTAACATAATCATTTACTTGATTAAGCTTATAGTAGTCATTGCGAAAAGTGATTTTAAAATTACGTAAGTGTAACCTCAAAATTACTTTTCATTGGGTGGAAAATAGGTACTAGTTGACTTATAACGTATATCTTGATAATGCTTATAATTATTTAAAATTTTGTTTTTAATAAAAAAAAGAAATGAAAGTCTATACATATAATTTGAATTGAAAATACAGTTTAATCATCAAACAGAAGCAATTATTTTTTTAATTAATATTATAAATATTCTCAATCAATTGAAATTCACGTGTACCTGTTACGAATAATTTACTGATAGATGACCGACTAACTAATAATCAAATGGAAAATTCCACGATTTTAGAGTCTCGGAGATACATATTTATTTTTACACGAATATTTGAATAATATTTGTTAGTTCTGAAAATTTTACAAAATGTAATGACTTTATTTAACAATAAATTATATGAGGAAATTATGGCTAAAGATTATTATCTTGAAAGTTTCTCTTTAAAAGAATACATTTCAAAATAACATATTATTTTTAACGAGTAGATGGTCAATTAATTAAAATAAATTTTTACTATATTTTATCACAAAGGAGGATGAAAAATGGAAATCCTATTATCATAGTAATGACGAAATATCGTGCATAAAAATTCACAAATTTGTTTAACTGAATTCTTTGAGTAGATGAGTATTTTCACTTTTTATACGAAATAATCAATTGCGCAAAAAAAAAAAACAAAAAAGAAAATTAATACGCTTAATAACAATTTTTTTTTTAAACATTTTTCTCAAATTTCATATAAATATGTTTTACATTTTTTAGCAATCACAGAAGAATGTGCAAGAATTTCAGCGTGATCTTGGCAAACAAGTGGGTATGTATCTCCAGGATAATCCAAACAATTACTGACAATGAGTCGAACTTCTCTTCGTATGTCAGTGGAAAGTTATCAGATTCGCAGTGCGATGAAAATATTCATATCTTCGTATGTTGCCAAAGACTCTAGAAGTGAATCTCACAAAATTCATTCTTGAATTTTGCATTACAAAACTTCTCGTTCTTTTATCATAATGCATTTATTAATGTTAGAGTATTGTTGTTAGTAATGTTCGAAGTTCACAGTGTTCGTAAACTATGATAATATTTTTTTACTTATATAGCTTTAAATATAAACATATACATTACTTTATTATTAACATTAATTATTAACATGATATCATAAATCTGTAAATATACAACATACAAGGTATTTGAATTGTGCGGATAAAAAAGATATAAATGTATGAAATTTTTGTATTATATGTAAAAATGTTGTGGTCAAATAAAAGCAATTCGATGATTTATGTAAAGTAAACATGTTAAATATTCAATAAAACCCAATAATTTTATTGAAATATTGAAATACAATCAGTATCAAAGACTTTAATATATGAAAAATATTATATTCTTTATATACATCGTTATATAAATTACAAGAAATCCTTTCGATTGAATCTTTTATATGTCTTGTAATGATGCAGCAAAGCATTTCATCGTGAAAGTTTAGCATTGCTTCCGAAAATTTTCATACTTTAATGTTATATTAATTTCTTTCATTATATGTCATAATGATTATTATGAAAAAGAAAGTTTTAATTAAATTCAATGTATCCTACTCAATATTACTTAAATATTGCATAAAACTATTTATGGATCGTATAAAAAATGTACATTCTTTCATAATATTGTAATTCTATGAAATTTGTTATACATTAAAAGAATCTAATTCTAAATCTTACGCTTTTTATAAAATTTTAAATTATTTATATAAATTTTATAAAATTAATGTATTTTTATATCAAATCGTTATAATAAAGTAATATATCTAATAATAGCTGTATTAAAAATTAAAGAAAAAAGCAAAAAATTATCAAGTACTAGATACAATTACGGAAAGAAAATTTGTATAAAACTTAGAGGAAATGATAATCAAGGAATATAAATTAGTCACCAGTTACACTGTAACGAAATTGCAATCCATGTAAGTAATAATGTATAGTTAAAAGATATTTTTATCTTTATAAGTCAGAAGCATATAAATTATACATACATTATCCTATTATTAATCACTATTACAAACTTTAATATTTTATCGTATATAGCGATACAATTGAAATTCCTATGCCATGTTTAGAGTTATGAAATCGACTACTTAATTTATCATCTTCAAAAAGTTTTAGTAACGATTTGAAATTTTCATTTTCAATAATAAAAAAAATCAATTTATAGGAAATTGCATTGCTTTCTTGGTATATTAATGTAAAATATGAAATAAAATAAAGCTACACAATAAACATATGACCTTGAAAATAATTATGTTATATATGAGAAACTATTTTTAGATAATTATATAAGTGCATTAAGTAATTATCAAAGCATTATAAAGGTATTTTTATTAATATTCTATAGTAAAGCTTTGCATAAAAGTATTAAAATTATCTCTATTGTAAGTATAAAACTTCATTCTATTGCATATTACTAATGTAACAAAATTTTTTCAAAATCCTAAATAATCATTGCTCTTACTTGGGGTTTCTTTACATCACGCACTACTTTCTTGTCGATGGATGAAAACTTCAACTATATAAAAAAATTCCTACCTGTAAATAGTAAAATTAAGTAAAAATATAAATTTTTAAAAGCTAAATAATCATTTGATGTATAAATAGTTGAAGAAATTGTTTAAAGTACGTTCACGTGTAAATCAAATTCTCCTAGTAACTGTAACTTGAGCAACAACATTAGCTCTTGCTGATTTCCACGGACATAAAACAACTTATAGCGATTATGCGGTATTACATGCCAATATACCAGGATTTAACGTCAAATTAAAAAAAGTTTGTAAGCCTAAGAAGATTCAACACCGCATCCCCTCTGTCTATTGATACACACAAAAGCAAACGTAGAAACACAAATACACACACACACACACTCTCTCTCTCTCTCTCTCTCTCTCTCTCTCTCTTTCTCTTTCTCTGTCGTTCTCTCTACTATTTTTATTTTTATTTTCTAAATCACTTTCTCTTTTACTGTCTTATTTACTTCTCTTTATTATTTAGCCCGTCTTATTTGGTTTCTAATATGCGCTCATAAAAATAATTTTTTATGCACTTGTATACGTGTAAGATTGTATGCATCGTCATTACAATATTTACTATAAGTATAAAAGTTTTAATACCCAGAACTACTCGGCCTTTTCAAATAAGAGCGGAACGTTACATAATTTCCCACTTTCCTTCGTCGTTCATATATTTTCATCTTTTTGATAAGGGACGATAAGGGACAAGATAAGTCATTCTCAGCGAATAACCCTTAACTTCTTTTAAAAATTACTTCACTCATATATAAATTGATTCTAAATTATATACGGAGCTTTTTCAACTTACCAAGTAGTAAGAAACGAAATAAAAAGTACGTTAATCTTAACACTCTTTTACATGAAAAGCAATGATTTCCTATATTTTTGACATTATTTAAAAAAATTTGTTTATAATTTCTCAAGCAATCTATTTAAAAAAGAACTTAAACTATATATTATTTTATTTCATTTTGTTTCAAAGATTTTCGACAATCAGTATGATTCATTTTAAAAAAACTCAATTTAAATAAATGATCTGGCTTAACAAATATTTTATTAATACAAGTTGTTGAAAGAATTTTTTATACCAATGAATCATATATTTCGTTTTAATTTATTTATATTTTAATTCAAATAATATTATTTGATATTAAATAATATATTATTTTTAATATTGTTTGCTACGCATCAGCGAAATGAGATTACTAAAATATTCTTGCAAACCTTACTGCATTTTTCAAAACTGAGAATCCTAAAGATTACGTGTACTTTTAAAAGAGTTCAAATAACTTTTAGAACTTTTTAAAAATAATATTTTTCTCTTAAATGTGATAATGGAGCTAAGTACGAAGATATCTATGGCTTAGTGTGTGAAACAAGATTTGCATGTGTATTAAACTATAATATATGCTAATGCAAATTTAGAAAATTGTTTTTGTTAAAACTCATTGATATTTTTTATCATATATTAATCGATTGTTACTAAAACTATTTATTTGCACTATTAAAGCTTTTACCTATATGTCATTGGAATAAAATTTAGTTAAATATTACTAATCAATTTAGTGTAATTATTATTTTAATTAATCACATTGATTTAGTTATACTTATTTTAAAACATTATTAATACTAGTTTATTTTAGTTATTAATTTTAGTTATAGAATTGTTGTTTAGTTTAATATAATGTAAAGGATCTAATTTGTTCGGCAATTATAAATCATTATAAATTGTAATTGATATTTCAAAAACTCTATCTATTTAAATAACATTTTATTCCATATTTTTTCAATTACATGCAATAAGAGTTTGTTTATTTATTATTTATATACAATAAATAGTTAAATGATAATAAATAAATAAATAATAATTAAAATAGTTGGCAGTGATTAATATATTTCCTTTTGGTTATAAAAAGTATGAAAATATAAATTTATATTTCATAATTAAGGACTTTTTATGCATATTCATTTTTGTAAAACTATTTTAAATGCTTGACCCCTAAAATGATAATATTTAAATGGATTAATAAATTAACAATTATTACTGTGGAATTTTTTTTATAAAAAAATTAAAAGGAAAATCCGAGCACTTACGTAAATTCATTGAATTACATCATTTATTCATCGATAAAAGTAATCAGATCACTCGATGTACAACATAATATTATTATCAAATCAATTATAAAAATTATTAATTATATAATATTTGAAATTTCATATTAAAAAATAAATAGTTTATATCAGAATATGTTTAAGTGAATAATAATTTCGTATAAGTATACGGGTCATTTTAATTTTGTTTAATTATGTAAATTCCCAAAAATACGAATATTTTCATAACATCGGATATATATATATATATACTAACAAACATATAATAAATTATATTAACGGAATATGTTTTTACTCTGATCACCATGGATTGGTATGGATTTTGTAATGATTGTATTGTACGTTAAAAATTATTTTATATTTGCAATACAATTCTGTAAGTAGAAAAATGATGTTTACGGAAACAGGATATTTGTGTAAGTGAAAGTCATTCATAAATATTGAAAATTAACGAAATGGAAGCATAAATTTGAAACTTTTAATCTTAGCCATTAATCACTGCTTATACAAAGTAGCGATAACGTGAGTAAGTAAAATTAAATCTTATAAATTAAAAATAATCAAATGAAATTTTCTAAGATATTATTTAAGAAATGTTCAATTTTCCAAAAAAAATTTGTTAAAATTTTAAATGTATATCATTTTATGGGTTACTACATTTTTCCATTGTATGTGATGTACATATGCAAATATCATTTTAGTAACTATTTATCCACTTTGAACGAATTAACTGAAAAAAAAATAAAATAAATAGATATCAGGAAAGAAACGGTTTGCCAAAAGATGCTGATTTAATATAAGTACAATCAAGAAAATTCATGACTGAACCTATTAACTGCAAATATATGTTTTATTCTTTAAACCATAAATTCTAGTAACATAAAACTGCAATAAACGAAAATTTAGGTATCCAGTACCTACAGTGTTTAAAATGCTGTTATGTTATTACGTAAATTATTAAATTTTGACCTTAAATTTTGTATAAAAATTAAATTCTTTAGATGAATAATATAAGTACTTAGATTTAAAATGAAAAATAATATTTATTTTTGTACAAATTATACTAACTATTAAAACAAATATATCGATGTATCTCGTTAATATTAGAAAACTGAATATGTATAAATGAATATTTTATTTCAATCTTTTCTCTATGTATTTTTTTATCTACTCTTTTGAGAAACATATTAATTGAAAACTATACATTATTTGTATTATTTCTGAAAAGAATTCTTTGAAAAGAAAAAAAAACACGAGTAAAAAAAAATGTATATATATTTTATAAAAGATAATAGACTGCGTTTGTTTAATCAATGTTTTTTACTTGATTCTAATATTCAACAATACTTTTGTAATAAATTATTTGGATTAAAAAGAAATTTACCTAGAATATGATAACGAGTGTAAACAACAAATAATTTCTCAAAATCATGAAGAATTAATAGTAAAAAAAAAATATACCCATTTATAATATTTAGGAAAGAAAGTAACAGGATTAAATATAACAAATTTTAAATATAAATTTTAA